AAATTCTCATTATTATTTGTGGTCTTTTAATTATTATTATTTTCTTCTTTTTAATTATATTTAAATTAAAATGTTAGGAAAATAAATAAATAAATCTAAATCTAGAGATAAAAATAATATAAGATTATTTTATATAGAAAAAATTATTGTTAAACTTTTCATTATACAACAATTGTTTTGTTACATGTTTTTTCTTTTTTTAAAAAAAATATTTCTTTATCTTTGAAAATTTAGAAATTCTAATACATCCCTAATGTATAATAATGATAATCTAGTAAAAATACAATGTATGTTAATAAATGTATAAAAAAAAATATGAACTAATCAAGATGTTTGTGTTTTAATAATTTGAAAGTTGACAAACAAAACAATCCAACTGTTTTTTTGTATGTGTTTTCTATATTTGAAGAAAAGTCATAATTTGACAGCTACATTATGTAGCCTACATATAAATTAAATATTTACGTTTATGATTTGGTGTAATAAGCAACAAACATGTGTATGGTGTGGCGCGAGGTTGAATCTTGAGTCTTCTTGGGTGTAACTTATTAGCTCACTTAATCTTGAATAGAAGATAAAGGAAATATAATGACAACGTTTACTAATTACTCTACCAAATTAGTTTAACATGGTGTTTGTGGAATATTATTCTGATAAGTTCTTTTGATATTTTAACGTTGAAATCAATTTTTATTTTGAAAATTGAAAAAAAAATCCAAAATACATTTCAGGATGAATTGTAATATAAAAAATAATGTTAAGAAAGACAAAAATTTCTTTCGTAGAGGTAACCGGTGTGGATTATCCCACTCGGACATTGGAAGTCACATTTGTTGAAATTGGGCTTTATCCACTTATTCTTGAATATGTTAGCCCAATGGGCCTATATCGTTTTAGAAGTAACTCAGCCTAATTTTAAAAAAGAAAGAGAGAGAGAGATCCTCTTCGTCTTCTTCGATTCCTCTTTCGTTCTCATTCTTCTTCGTCTTCTTCTTCTTCACTTTCGTCTTCCAGCACAGTTGTCATCAATGGCTCGAAATCGGGTAAAATATTTAGTCGACTTTCTTACTTCGTTATGTTATATAGCTTATATTGCAAACTTGGTGATTTTTTACTAGGTTTCTTCAAAAACCATTTCATGAAAAAATCTCAACTTTTCTGTTTGTTTCCATTGATGTTTCATTTTTTTCCGCTTAGTTCCGTCTGTGCATGTTTTTTCTCCATTCCTGCTTACTATCTTAGTTTCGTCTTCTTGTAATGCTATTTTAACTTGAGTTTGACTTCGTTTTATGCATTTTGTAACATTTGCTAGTGTTCTTGTTTACTGTTGTTTTCTCGGAACTGTTCTTGAAGTGATCTCGATTTGATTTGAATTTGATTGTACTGATTCCATTTGTTCTTGAAAGCAGGAAGGGTTAGTTTTGTTGCTCGATGTTGGTCCAGCGATGCATAGTGTTCTCCCTGATGTTGAAAAGGCATGTTCTTTGCTACTACAGAAGAAGGTAAATAGATCTTTTTTACTCTACTGAGTTTCAGCCTTTTTCTTTTGGATTTTTCTTATTTGGTTTTGGTTTTGGTTTTGGTTTTGGTCTGTTTGTTGCAGTTGATTTACAACAAGTATGATGAAGTTGGCATTGTTGTATTTGGAACTGAAGGTCTCTTTATCTCTTCTTCTTACTGTTGTTACTCTTGTCTTTCCTGAGGCATGTTAGTTTGATGCCTTAAATGTTTGATTTTGAGTTGTAAATTAGTTATCTATCCTCTTTAGTAGTAGAATGGTTGATATGGTTCTTTCTAGGAGTGTTGTCAACTATTGGCTATTTGTTGTAGTTTGAAAATAATGTTTCATGTAACCTCTGCAGAAACTGCAAACGAGCTTGCTACGGAAATAGGTGGATATGAGCATGTTAAAGTTTTGAGGAATATAAGAGTTGTTGATGAAGTCGTTGCTGAGCATGTAAAGCACCTCCCTCGAGGAACCGTAGCTGGCGACTGTATCCTGCTAGCTAGTTTACTGCTAAATTTGCTGTTTTGCCATTTTCTTCTGTTTATTTTCATGGGTTCTTTGACTGGCTTCAGTTCTTGATGCTTTGATTGTTGGGATGGATATGCTTATAAAGATTTATAGTGGTGGGCAAAAGGGGAAGAAACGGATGTGTCTTATCACGAATGCAGCTTGTCCTACCAAAGATCCATTTGAAGGAACGAAAGATGATCAAGTCAGTACTATCGCTATGAAAATGGCTGCAGAGGGTATAAAGATGGAAAGCATTGTTATGAGGTCCAGTTTAAGTGGTGATGCTCATGAGAAAGTGATTGAGGAGAATGATCATTTGTTGAATTTGTTCTCCAGCAACGCCATTGCTAAAACAGTTTATGTTGAGAGTCCACTCTCACTGCTAGGTTCCTTAAAGACCCGAAGGGTTGCTCCAGTTACTTTGTTCAGGGGTGACCTTGAAATTAACCCAACAATGAAGATTAAGGTAACGTTTTTTTGTTGTTGTGTCTTTTGCTTATTGTGCAATGTTTATAGATACCATCCAACTTGCTGTTTTTTTTTGTATTATTCAATACTTAATTTCATTCAATTGTATAATTGTTTATGAATATTTCTCTGAGAATAAGAATCTAAATTCGTAGGTGTGGGTTTATAAGAAAGTGGCTGAGGAGAGACTTCCCACTCTAAAAATGTATTCTGACAAAGCGCCTCCAACTGACAAGTTTGCCAAACATGAAGTGAAAATTGATTATGATTACAAACTTACTGCAGAATCTACTCAGGTTATTGCTCCAGAAGAAAGGGTCAAGGGCTTTCGCTATGGACCTCAGGTTATTCCTATATCACCAGATGAGATAGAAACACTCAAGTTTAAAACTGACAAAGGCATGAAGCTTCTGGGATTTACTGAGGCATCAAACATACTACGGTTAGTATAAACACTGATATCTATGTTTGTCTGTAAACTCTTACTTGTTCAAAGTTTAATTTTATGTTTTTATCTGCATGTCAATGAAGACACTATTACATGAAAGACGTGAATATAGTTGTTCCTGACCCGAGCAAAGAAAAATCTGTTCTTGCCGTCTCAGCCATTGCAAGAGAAATGAAGCAAACAAACAAGGTGGCAATTGTACGTTGTGTCTGGAGAAATGGACAAGGCAATGTGGTTGTTGGGGTCCTGACTCCAAATGTGTCTGAAAGAGATGACACCGTAAGTTAATAGTTTTCTCTGCTCAGAGGAATACTTCTATTCGAATCTGACTATTTTAATGATCATTTACCCTTTTTACAGCCTGATTCATTTTACTTCAACGTGCTACCTTTCGCCGAGGATGTCCGCGAGTTTCCATTTCCTTCTTTCAACAAACTTCCGTCATCATGGAAGCCAGATGAACAACAGCAAGCAGTAGCAGATAATTTTGTCAAGATGCTTGACCTTGCACCTTCTCCTAAAGAGGAAGTACTAAATCCTGATCTTACTCCTAACCCGGTTTTGCAGGTAATTCCAGTTTTGTTATCCTTTTGACTATGTATAACTGTTGCAGGTAATTTTTCAACTCATATTGATGAAAATGTTTTATCAGCGTTTTTATGAATACCTTGAGTTGAAATCAAATTCCACGGATGCTGTTTTACCTCCAATGGATGAAACTTTCAAGAGAATTATGGAGCAGGATCCTGAACTCTCTTCCAACAATAAATCCATAATGGATGCGTTCTGTGGAAGTTTTGACGTCAAGAAGAATCCAAAGGTGTGTTCCCCTGAATCATCAGCTTTCAGAATGGAACCTGAATGATCTCATTCTTAATTCTTTGACAATACTGTAATTGCAGTTGAAGAAGGCTTCTAAGAGATTGTTACGAGATAAACCATCGGGTTCAGATGATGAAGACAATCGCATGATTACTTATGATGCCAAAGAGAACAAAATTGATATAGTCGGAGATGCAAACCCAATTCAAGATTTTGAAGCCATGATATCCCGCAGAGATAACCAAGACTGGACCAATAAAGCAATCACACAAATGAAAACCCAAATATTAAAACTCGTAGAAAATTGTACCGATGAGGGTGACAAAGCATTGGAATGTCTACTCGCTCTTCGTAAAGGCTGTGTCTTGGAGCAGGTCTCATCTCTTTTCTCTATCTCAACTTCTGCATTTACTCTCAAACCTTTTTCATAGAGTCTTCTTTACATATGTGAGCAGGAACCAAAGCAATTCAATGAGTTCTTGAACCATCTATTCAAGTTATGCCAAGAAAGAAAGTCATCGCATTTTCTCAAACATTTCACGTCAAAGAAGATCACGTTGATTCCCAAATCCGAAGCAGCAGACAGGTTATGTTTATAGACACAATCTTCGAATTTAGGATAAATCTGTGTAACTCTCTAATGACTGGTCTGATGAATGTTTTGTTGGTCGTTTGCTTTCAAGCAGTGATGTGGTAGACGAGAACGTTGGGGATTTCACCGTTAAACAAGAGCCAATGCTTTAGAGCTAACAAAGTCTTGGCTAGTGGCTACAACTAACACTGATCTGTGACTGTGTTTGTCTAAAACGACGCCGCTTAATCTCTGACTTTTGGCTCTTGCAAAAATTTTTGGTTGCTGTCAAATAACTCAGGCAAATTTGTTTATTTACTATGCATCCATAATTAGTTTCAGAAAAGGAACTCTACTAAAAACAGGAAAACTTTATTTTCCTTAACAAAATAGAAAACTACAAGAAAACGAAAACAAAAATTCAGAGTCCCATGAGAGTTAAGATTTCCTAATTTAAAAATAGTAATAATACTTATTTTCCTATTTCCATTCTATTAACTATACCCAAATGGTAAATGAATCCTAGTTTGATAACAAAACAGAGAGTGTACAAACATACATAACTATATATATTACGGAGAGCAAAACAGATCGTGAGAGCAGAGAGACATTATAATACAGAGAGAAGAAAGAAATCTTGAAGAGGAAGTAACGAATTAGGGTTTCTGTGAAAGATGAAGCGAAGAGAAGAAGATGAGAACCAAAACATGCAGAGAAAAAGAAGTAAACCATCATCATCGTCGTCTTTGTCGATACCTCTCGATCTAACCTCAGAGATCTTCTTAAGGCTACCTGCGAAGTCTGTCGTAAGGTTTAGTTGTGTTTCGAAGCTTTGGTCATCGATCACCACCGAGCCGTATTTCACCAACGCGTTCGAGACTCGTCCTAATCTTTTGTTCTTCTTCAAAGAAGACAACAGGCTCTTTGTCGTCACGGTTCCTCCACTCAACAAGAACCCTAAAGAGTCTTATTCATACTCTTCTTCTCCGGTTCTTGATACTTACCAAATTCCTTATCCGAAAGGTCTTTGCTTCACCATCAAAACAGAGTCGGTACATGGTTTGATCTGTTTTCAGAAAGCGACGCAACCTATACTTTGGAACCCTACTATGAGAAAGTTTTCACCTTTACCTAAACCGGACACAAAGTGGGAAGCTTTGACGGTGTTTTTAGGGTACGATCCTGTCGAAGGTAAACACAAAGTTTTGGCCATGCAGAGTAACAAAGCTTCAGATGAGTGTAGGGTTTTAACAGTGGAATCAGGTAAAAAATCATGGAGAACAGTCAAACCCTACTACGCACATCAACCTTGTCGTGGCCATCGCAAAGACAACTACGGACCATGCAGATGCATCAATGGTGTTCTTTACTATGGAGCCAAGATTGGTCTTGATAGGGTTATAATGAGTTTTGACTTGAAATCTGAAAAGTTCATCGCCCTAGCATTGCCATGGGACGACGATTACTTTCAGCCAATGATGATGATATCTTATAAAGATAAGTTAGCTTATCTCGGTTGTTCTAGCTATGGGATCAAGACTACTCTTCGTATGTTGGTTTTGGAGGATGAGAGGCGTGGATGGTCGAGTCACAAGTTCTTACCGATCTCTCATTATGATCGTGGTGCGGAGAACAACTTCAAGCTTATAGGTGTTACTAACGATGGTGAGTTGATTTACGTACCGAACACGGTGTTCGGGTCTTTTGATGTTGTGTATATCGATCCAGTGAAGGAGACTTATAGAAGAGTTAAGTACAAAGGAGTTGCAGATAGAGAATTTAGACAACGCAATGGACTTGAAGATCTCAAAGCTTTCCGTGGGATACAATATTCACCTAATCACATTGAGACTCTCATGTCTCTGTGATTTTATTTTCTTTGGTTTCTCTTCTTATTTTGATATATGTCAAAAAAAAAAATTTAGATTTAAACAATATTATCTTCTTCTTTATTTATGCAATTTACAGATTATAGCTTTCTTTGTTTAATACATATGACAAAACGATTTCTAATTTAAATAATTATTTATGCATTTTACTTATTGAAAATACAAATGATTTCTCTATACTAATCAACAACATATGTTTTAATTTGATCACACTTCGAAATTATATGCCAAAATTGACAAACAAATTAATTACATTTTCCAAATCCGAAAACTTATCTATATAATATCTCCATTCACATAATAAACACACTTTACAAATATAGTTATACTATGCTACTGATATTGGACTAAAATCATCTTACTCGTAATTATAAATATACCATACACTATATATAAATTATAAGATGTTTAAAACCAAATGTGATATTAACAACAAAATTTAATTAAGAACTATCACCGTGACCAACTTAGGTTAGAACATGAACGAAACCATGGAGAAGAAGTAACGAGTTAGGGTTTCGACAAAAGATGGAGCAACGAGAAGAGAAGAACGAAGATATACAAAGAAAAAGAGGAAGAAGAAGAAGTACTAAATCACCATCGTGCTTACCTCTCGATCTAATTAACCTCGGAGATACTCTTAAGGCTGCCAGCGAAGTCAGCTGTGTGATTTCGTTCTGTTTCGAAGCTTTGGTCATCAATCACCACAGCTACATGTTTCACCAACTCGTTCCAAAGCCAGCCTAATCTTCTTGTCTTCTTCAAAGAAGGTGACAGGTTCTTTGTTTTCACGCTTCCTCAACAACAAAATTGGAATCCGAATGTGTCTTGTTCTTATACTTCTTCTCAGATTATTAATAGTTACCATATAACTTATCCAAAATGTCCTTCTTTAACAAGTAAAGCTAAGTCGGTCCACGGCTTGATCTGTTTTCAAAAAGCAGCAAACCCTATAGTTTGGAACCCTACTATGAGAAAGTTCTTACCTCTCTACTAACTTTACACAAACCAAATGAGATGTGGGAGAATATAACAGTCTCTTTAGGGTATGATCCAGTCGAAGGTAAACACAAAGTAGTGTGCATGCCTTGTGGTAAAGCTTCTTATGACTGTCGGGTTTTAACATTGGGATCAGATCAAGAATCATGGAGAACGTTCGGGTTTTAGTTAACATTTTTGTTGTTTTGTAAGACAATTAATCTAAAACATGAACGCACATGGGAAGATTAAGCGCATATACCTCCTTTCACCGTGTCTCCTTTCTGGTTTCTTCGTAAAATTTTTAGGAGAACAATATGTATAGTAGCTTTCATTGAATTCAAAAGAATAAAATCGAACGAAGAATAAAAGATTTCTAAACACTTAAATCTCTGAACTTATTGTATTAACTCATAAAACATAGACTTAACTCTTGACTTATTGTATTAACTCATAAAACATAACATGATCATACTTAATACAACAACATAGACATATATATAAGGAGACCTTATACTGATTCATATGAGACTATCATTTATCCTCCAAATGAAAGAAAAGTGGCTGAAGCAGAACCCGAAGAAGGGGCTGGGGTTGGTGCAAAATCGGAGGGGGGCGAGGGGAAGATTGAAACTGTGTCCATTATGTCAGTGATTGCATCCCATGATATATCATTTCCCAAACGACCGATTTCTTTTCTAGTTTCGAAGACTATGATGATCGGGACAGTGGCTAAACTGTAAAGTGTTGCAAAGAAGGGATGCTTTAAAATATCGACTTTAAGTAATATAACTAGGTTACCATAGGTTTCAGACAATCGAACTAGTTGGTCATCCAATATAGAGCATCGGCTACCGCACAACGAGGACGTTACCGCAACCACAATGGGAAGCTGAGTTGTTGTCAGAATTTGTTGCCATTCAACTTCGTTACTCAACCATTCTACTTGATCTCCTACGTACATGTACACATCGAATCAATGAATCATCAATGTAACTATGCAAGTACTACTAAACCACACACTAATACAATGTATATATAATACATATAACCTTATAATATATGAGATGGTTATATTATACCTTGACTAAAGCCACTACCCACCAAGAACATTAGCATTACTCCCAAAACGTACGAAACCTTTTTCTCCATTGATCAATCAATCTTATATTATATATTCTTTCTCTCTCGATCGTTTTCGTAGGATGTGTTAATCTGCTGGATATGTGTTGTTGTCTCGTTTTATAAGCTTTCAAAAAGTAAACGGGTTGAGTACAAAAAGGTATATGAGTTGGCAATTAAACAAATAGTTAATGACCAATTCCTTACTTATTATTAGCTGTCTATACTTTGATAAAACAAAATTAATACATAATCCTGACGTGAAATTCATGTTATCAACTTATTATTCTCGAGAAGGACAAGTGGGCTAATGGTTCTCACCTCTGTTGGCTTCTCACCAGATCCGGGTTCGAGTCCGGTCCCTCTCAAAAGAGAGACGTATAATTTATAATGATGACGAAAAAAAAAAAAAACTTATTATTCTCTTATTAAAAAGTCAATGATTGCATGTTATGAGGTATTTTAATAACACTACAAATGAATGAGATCGAACGTTTTATTTGTAAAACAAATTCGACCTTTGATAATGTTTTTTTTAATAAAAATTTCGATACCTTTTATATATATTCATTGAAAAGTGCAACCTTGGAGTTCTAGTAATGAATTCATAGTTATTTAATACATATTCTCTTTCTTTTATAGATTTTGAATCTGTTTGGATAATAAGACTTGTGAAAACAGAAAGAAGTATCGCTTCCGGGGGAAAACACACATACACATACACATACACATACACACACACACAAATCTAAGTTTAAATTTCTAAACTCAACAAAACAATGGTATTGTTGTTATTAAGATACTCACTACTCAATTTCATATGATATGCGCCGGCCACGTACAATTGTTTTATGTGGCTGTCCTCACTCAGGGCCGGCCTTTGGTATTTACTATTCGAATATTCACATTAGTATTTTACTTCTAAATAAAAACTATATCTTGTTTAAATAGTGTAGTTCAATATTTAGCACAACAAGCCCGTCTAGCTCAGTTGGTAGAGCGCAAGGCTCTTAACCTTGTGGTCGTGGGTTCGAGCCCCACGGTGGGCGTTACTATTTTCTTTTTTTCATACTTTTTTTTTTTAACACTTTTCTTATTCGTTGTAAATCATTTAAACATATAAATGGACGTGTTATGTATAATCTATAGCTTCAAATTCTTTGACTATAATTGTTATGCATTTGGTTGGGTATAAAAAACTGGATTATTGGGGAAATTATGTTAAAAAAAATAAATAGAATTATATAAGGTAAGCACTGTATACATGAGTGTCTAGTGTTGGAGAAGTCTGTACAGTACCAGCACAGATCTGCAGACGTTTATAATAATATATATACACGATTATATTTCCTACGATATGATTACCAAAACCTCTACACCAGAAAAAATTTGAACAAAATGAAATGTCCTTTCTCCGCCAAAGCTGTGTTTCATCTCACCCAACCTGAGAACAAAAGCATGTCCATTAGATATGAGACGCTAATGCTACCACTCCCCGATTTTTCGAAAGCAAACTGTAGATGCTAATACCGTAAACCTAGATCTTGTGTACCTAACAATTACTGATATAAACTAAAAGAAAAAAGAATCAAAGCTTTGCTCGAGCAAAACTGAGAAGAAGAAAAAGTCTTTACCGGGGAGTCAAGAGGGCACAATGGAAGGTGTGAGAGCTCAAAAATTCAGACAGCTTCTTCAAGCTTTAACTTGAGCTGGTTGTAGGGCTTGTGCCAAAGGTTGAAGATGGTGTAACTGAAGCTGGCATTTGTTGAGAAGCACCTTCAGCCCAAGAACTCTCAGAAAGTGGGGAATATGGCCTAGTCACTTTGTTTTTCACCATTCCCTAAAAACGGATACAATATAAAGCATAATCTTAATTTGGTTCCTTGTTTGGCATTATCATTTCATTTCTATCGCTGTAATATCACTTATAACATGTTAGGCCAATTACTATATAGAGTGGCATTATCGTAGTCAAAAGTGAAATAAAAAGCTCTTCTCACCTTTAAAGCATCCTGCCCATACAAGTTAATGGCTTGATCAATGGCTGAGTAAACCTCAAAGGCCTGCTTGGTGTTGGGACTGCACTTGACAACACGGACTTGTTCCTTTGAATCATATGGCTTTGCTTTCAGATAAAGAATAAGCCGCGAAGGTGGAGAGTTAGGTTGGTCTTTTTTCCCGTCAGTCAGCTCCATGGTTCCCAGATCATTCCATACAATGTCCCACTGTATGGAACACGCATCTTTGGCAGGGATAAACTTTCTTTGACCCATTATGTTGGAGGGTTGCTAGAAACATTAAAAGTTGTAATTGTCAGGAGTATTTTTTGGATAGATACAGATGACAAACACTATAACAATTAAACCTTATGCATATATAGAGAGCAAGAAGGTATTGTCTAACTCACTTGTAGCAATATCACTCTTCGATGTGTGATCATCAGAACTTTTCCTTTTGGTAGAATGAAATGACTTTCATAGGCATCTGTTAATGCAAACTTCCCACGTACTTTGAACAGGTCAACCTGGCCCAGGAATGATCCAGATTCTGCCAACTGCAATATCACCTGCAAACGCAAAATATTGGAGAATTGAACTTGCATAAGAATTCTGATGCAAGAGAGAAACGACTCGTGCTCGAAGATAGAAACCAATAAACATATTCCTCATCAGCTAACCAAGAGAGAAACGACTAGGGCAAGTAATAAATGGTTAAAAAGGTTCATGGGTAAAACTGGCACCTGCCCCTGTGCTCTGTATTCATTGTAAGGACGAAGCAAGCTATCAGCACCAACAGCTCTTGGAAGCCTCCGGCGAAGAAGTTGTTCATCTGAAGTGATGGCAGCTGCTATCTTCATCCTCATGGCATTTGCACCTTCGGTGGTCTTTGACAGAAGATCCAGAACTCCGCTCACAGGCTGGGCAGCAGCACCAATTATTCCTTTCCCAAAACCAGAGACAAAACCTTCGACACCTGACGACTTTGCACCTTCGAGAGGCTTCGTCAATATGCCTGTGACTCCTCTAAACAGGCCTTTCGCTAGAGCTCCACCTCCTTCTCTGATAATATCGCCAAAGTCCTCAACACCTTTGTTCTCCTACCAGATGTGAGAAAGAAACACATGAGAGTGTAAAATAGGGCAAATGTAAAGCACGAAAGAAACACTGTGGCAAGCCCATACTTTCGCTTGTATCAGAAGCCATGAAAACATTTGAGTTCTAAGAGGAAAATTTTCAACATATTAGATAAACCAATGGAAGGCAACTTGTCTTGTTTATATTGTTATCTACAGGAAACAGGAACATGCACAAGGAGATATAGAAAATAACAAAGCCAGTAAAAAACCTGTCTCTGTCGACTTTGGATGAATTTTTTATCCATTGATAATGCAGCTATGCCTTGACTCATATGTCCAAGCGCGCTGCTTGCATTGCCAAGAATGTCAACACCTGAAAGCAACTGAAGAGGCTGGCCAAGGAGGTCTTTCTTTACGTTCCTAATAGCATTATTGATCATAGTACTTTGGCGCATGGATATGTTCTCATGAAATCTCTCACTTATGCGTACCTGTTTGAGGATAAGATGAATTAGAAAAAGAAAAATATATGAACATTCAGCTGGGTTTGACTGAAAGTGCAGAAATTAGTACAGCTACAATTACTGACATATCAACTTCTAAAAACTAGAAGACTTATAAACTGTAATTGGTGATCCCTACGGAGATAAAATGATTTACAAACCAATTACTGAATACTGGCCAATGATGCAAAATGATGGTGTTTTATTTTTCGAATAGCTACATGAGAGGTGGAAAAATAAAACCTGAACTATCCTCTATCAACCTATGTATTAGTAGACAAAATTTTGTTAATTGGTATCTTAATAGGCTCGTGGGCAACACAAAAATCCTTGTTGTTGGGCATTTTCCTACAGATGAATTACTCTGGAATACTTACTGGCATGTTTTCTGTATTCCCAAGAGCAGTCATCAGGGATGACCAAAATCCAAGCACTCCCCTCGGCCTTTGACTGGGGGACATGGCCATGGACACTTTAAATCTAACTTCCGAGAGGTTAAGAACTCTGCAATATTGGAGGGTGTAACTAGAGGTAAGTATTGTGAATGGAAGATTCATTCCGTATACAGCATATATATAACAAGAAAACCCCTTACATACCCGATTTGAATGAATGGATCAACTGACACAGCCGTCGACTTGGAATCGGATAGTCTACTCAAGTTGGCTTGCTGGATCATCTCATGAACGCGCCAGATAATAGGTTCATGAATGTTCACGAGAAAGGGAGTATTTTCACGTCCCTATTACATAGTTATACATTGTGAGCAAAAGTTTTAATGCAATAAAGAATCGTTCAGGCCGAAAACAGAAATCTTATAAGCTTACTTGGAAACCTATATAAGGGTAGGCACGGAGATCGAGGCCAGCATTTGATTGCAAAGTAACAGAAAACTTCAGAATGTAATCAGCTTTGTCTCCAGTTCTCTGTGGTCGGAACAGAACTGGCATTGGAGCCAATGGCAATTGGTTATCAACTTGTATTCCTTGCATCCTCAGTTTGAACCTGGAAAGCAATTAGCATTTAGCAAAACCCCAGCGTGCGTTGTTTGTATAACACCCACCCGAATCTGATAAGCGTGAGTGGCAATTCATGAACTTAGCAAATGTTTTCCGTTGGAAAGAAATCTCAAGCAAATATTTTTCTGCATCCTAGATATATGGAACTTTACACAGTAAACCCTGGATGCCTAGAGACAGTACCCACATTTATCGAATTACGTAGAAAATCAGTATGGCCATTTCAGAATAGCTAAATTGGTGATAATATGACGGCCTTTTCAAAATAGAACTACACCTAAAGAACCTGATAAACTCACCTGCTAAGCCCAGAGCCCAAGCCAGTTGAATATGCCACAAAGAGGTTTTGCACTGACATGTACAGTATTTCCTCAGGAGCATGATCGATTACAGAGATTCCAAGTTCAGCAAGCTCAACTATCACATGAAACTCAGAATCTTCCGAGGCCAAAAGATGAGATTGTT